TCAGGGTGGGGAGGAAGGTCAAGGTCAGACAGGGTGGCAGGATAGTATGGTAGCCAACTCCTGTGTCCTTTTGCTGCCATCATCCTACAAGGCAACCTAGGTTCCCGTTCCAGCTTCGATGGAATCTCCCTGGCTCTCGCTCTGGTGCCATCCTGAGAGCTTTGCCTCTATCCCTTCCTTTCCATTGTAAACAGCATCAGTGGCCGACCACCACCCAAGACCTGTCACCACTCCAGATTAAAAGCCCCTTGAGGGACTGTGGAGATGGTTCAGTCAATAGAGCGAGCGCCTGCAGCCCAGGCTTGGGGACTTGGGTTGGATCCCTTGTGTCCAGGTGGAATCACCAGTGAGGTGGTGCACATCTGGGGTCCCAGCACTGCGGGCGCCAGGGGTCTGGAACTCACTGGCAAGCTGGGAGACGGAGGCAGAGAACGTGGCAAAGACAGGAGGATCTTTGGGGCCTGCTAGCCAACCAGCTGACCTCCTTGGCAAATTCCCGGCCAGTGAGAAAGCGTGTATCAAAAAAGAAAGTGAAGCCGGGCGTTGGTGACACACATCTTTAATCCCAGCACTCGGGAGGCAGAGGCAGGCGGATCTCTGTGAGTTCGCGGCCAGCCTGGTGTACAGAGCGAATTCCAGGACAGGCTCCAAAGCTACAGAGAAACCTTGTCTTGAAAAACCAAAAAAGAAAAAAAAAAAAAAAAGAAAAAGAAGAAGTGGAGGGACTGGAGAGATGGCTTGGTTACGAGCACTTGTTGTTCTCGAAAAGGACCAGGGTTCAATTCCTAGTACCCACACGGAGGCTCACAACCATCTGTGACTCTAGTCCCAGGGATCCCACACTCTTTTCTGACCTCCATGGGCACCAGACACGTACACATGGGTCACAGACATACATGTGAGTAAGACACACCCACAAAATAAACAAGTGTAAAAATGAAAGAAAGTAGACTGTGCCTAAGACATGACACCCAGGTGTCCTACTTCTACATGCACACACATACATGCATACTCACACATAGACACACACATACACACATAGGCATACTCACACACATACATACACATGCACATATGATCACACACACAAACACACACATATACTCACACACAAATACAATCACACACACATATGCATATTCACACATACTCACACATACACACACATACAATCACACACACAAACACACACACATACATACACACATGATCACACACACGCACAATTTTTTAAAAGTTTCAACTCTGTTGTAAAGCCTGCCTGGGTGGTCTTTATGACAAAACAGTTAATATTTTCTTTTGTGGAGAAAGGGGCCTATAAATGTGAAAATCCTGGCACCATCTAGAGGGTGTGCTGTAAGGATCTTTCTCTGAGAACTTCCATCCTAACTTGTAAATAAAGAATTGTGGTGATATATTATTTATGATTTATTAAAGCTTGCCTGAGGATTCAGAAAGCAAAGTCAACCACAAATCATAGAAGCCAGGCACATACCTTTAATCCAACATCCAGAAGCTAGGAAGTGGTGGTGTACACCTTTAATCCTAGGACTCAGGGTTAAGAGGTGAACAGATCTCTGTGAGTCCAAGGTCACCCTGATCTACACAAGAGAAAGGGTTCACGCAAAGGCGATCTCAGCACCTGGAATCACACGCCTTTAATCCCAGCTCTCGGGAGGCAGAGGCAGGCAGATCTCTGAGTTTGAGGCCAGCCTGGTCTACAGAGTGAGTTCCAGGACAGCCACCAAAACAATACAGAGAAACCCTGTCTCAAAAAACCAAAAAAAAAAAAAAAAAAGGACAGGAGCAGGGTCTCAGTATTGGGCATTCATTCACCAGCCCCATGGAGGATAGGAAGACATTGAGTCTCAGGATTCCCAGCCACGCTGAGGAGAGGCAGCAGGGTCAGCCCATTCAGCCTGAGGTAGAAGAAGCTAGTGGTCAGTTGCTTTGCTTTCCTGACCTTCAGCTTGAAGCTTGAACCCTAACATCAATCTCTGGGTCCCTATGTCCCTGCCTGAGGAAGGACAGACACAATTAGGGGCAGATGCGCTAGGGGTCACCCCCATGCCCCGAGCCCACATCCCTACCCATGGTCGACATCTCAGTCCCCAGGGAAAATGGGAGAAAAGTCAGGCCTTGAATGTGTGTGGCAGGCAAACACTGACCCATTGATTCGGTCTAGGTTTGCCAGGGCTGTGATCAGGTGCGCACTCTCACTGGGGGAAAAGGGGTGTGGGGAGGAGATAACAGCAAGTGAGACTCAAACAAGTCCTCTCCAGGCTCCAGAAAGCCAGACCCGCTAATAACCAGACTGGCTGACTGGAGCGCAGGCTGTATAAGTGGCCACCCCACCACCACCAGCCACCGACCTGTGCCTTCCCGCTCCCGCCTCCCCGGGGAGCTCGTGGCTTCCAGGCCAGCCTTTCATCTTGTGTCATCAGCCGCTCTGCTATTTGCAGGGAGGGAAGCTGGGAGCAGAGGGAAGTAACCCACATGACTTCCCTGGGCTGGGAGCCTGTTTGTTTGTTCTGGGGAGACAGGCAGACAAACTGGCCTGGGAACAGTCACGAAGCTGGTTACTCGCCTGGAACCCGGACTTCGTGTCCCTCAGACCCCTGCACTCTCTTCCTTTTTGTTTGTTATCTTTTCTGTTGACTTTCTGAGATGGATCTCACTGTTTCTCAGACTGGCCTCTGACTGGCAGCAATCCCCCTGCCTCAGCCTCCCCAGCACTGGGCTTCCAGAGGTGTGCTACTATACCCAGCTATTAGATGCATTTTAACAATCCATCTGCTTCACTCTGGGGTAAAAGGTGAGGAGGGGGAGAATATTTACAGAAATGGTAGCTAGGGACGGGTGCAGGCTATACATCAGGCAGGCAGGGAGTCTGGGGCACCCTAAGCACTCCTATGACGATGGTCCACGAAACAAAGCAAAACAGAAGTCTATGCCTTAATATTGTGAAACACTGCTGGGCATTGGTGGGCATGCCTTTAATCCCAGCACTCAGGAGGCAGAGGCAGGCGGATCTCTGTGAGTTCGACACCAGTCTGGTCTACAAGTGTGTTCCAGGACAGCCTCCAAAGCCACAGAGAAACCCTGTCTCGAAAAACAAAACAAAACAAACAAAAAAATTGTGAAACACGTTTGAAACCAACAAATTTTCTTTAAGACAGGATTTCGCTTTGTAGATCAGGCTGGCCTTGAACTCAGAGATCCACCAGTCTCCACTTATTGAGTGCTGGGACTAAATGTGTGGACACTGTCAGGCTGAAACCAGCATATTAAAGGAGATGTCAGTCCCTTTTCACTGGAGTAGAGAGACTGAGTCAAAGTCACCACGTAACCGAGGGTACCCTTGAGTTCCTGATCCTCGTGTCTCCCCGTTCTGAGTTCTGGGATTGCAGGCATGGACTTCCATGCCCAGCTGGCCCTCCTTGTTCCTTCCAGACACTGGTGGCTTCGGGTCCTATCCCCGTTTCTATGCCCCTCCATCTGCCTCTCTTCTCCTGTGGTTCCATGTGGGACCTCCCCCTGCCCTGCCTTTCTCAAGGCCACCAGTTTCTGGGTTTAGAGTTCACATGCATAATCCAGGATAATGCTATTTTAGAGTCTTTAACTACAGGACATCTGAAATAGACACGTAATAAAAACAAGGTCCATGAGCAGTGGTGGCGCACACCTTTATTCTCAGCACTTGGGAGGCAGAGGTAGGAGGATCTCTGTGAGCTCAAGGCCAGCCTGGTCTACAAGAGCTAGTTCCAGGACAGCCTCCAAAGCTACAGAGAAACCCTGTCTTGAAAAAACAAAAAACAAGGTCTCTGAGCAGTGGTGGCACACACCTTTATTCTCAGCACTTGGGAGGCAGAGGCAGGTAGATCTCTGTGAGTTCAAGGCCAGCCTGGTCTACAGAGTGAGTTCCGGGATAGCCAAACTACACAAAGAAATCCTGTCTTTAAAAAAACAAAATAAATAAATAAATAAGGTCAAGGTAGTCATATCTTGGTGCGGAAGTTGGGGGAACACCCCAGTAGACTTGTGACAGGGTGGTTTTCTGTTACTATAATAAAATAGCCGAGGCTGTGTACTTATAGTGAAAGGTGATTGAGTTATTCCACTTTAGAGGACAGAAATGGAAAAGCAGGGCTGCCTGCATCCCCAGCACATCATAGCATCCAGCTTTTAAATACGGGCTGCCAGCATGGAGCCCAAGTCCTCATGCTTGCCATAAAGGCAAGCAATTTAGCATCTGGGCTATCTTCCAGGCCCTGTTCTCTTCTTATTCCCGCATAATTCCCTTCACCCCATAGCCTGAGACATGGGGACGCCCATATCTGGCTTGCCATATGACGTGACAGGTGGATACGCAACCCTCGGATAAGCTTTCAATGGGCCCTATGCTGGCCAGAAAGGGCTCTACCCTAACCGCTGTGTTCATGGAAGGAAATGAGCTCTTGTCCGCGTGCCCTGGGATCCACCAGTTTCAAGTGTGGAATCCAGCGCCGTCAGTATCTTCACAGCGTCGCACAACTTCCGCAATCAGTCTTCAAACATTTCGTCACTCCCTCAAACAGGCCATATCCCTTAGCTGTCAACCCAGTACACATTCCCCCACTCCCACCCCACCCCCTCTCCCCACTGTCATCCGGCCTTTGACATTGATCCACATTCTGCCCCTGGATTGCTCTCTCTGGACACAGACAGAACCGCACATTATGTGGTTTTCAGCGCCTGCTTCTTTTCACTTAGCAGATGCCCTCCAGGCTGCTCCCACTGCAGCAATCCCCAGTCCGTCGTTCCCTGCTAGGCTGGGTCGTGTTCCATCGGGTGATAATGCACCACTCCTCGTTTACCCATCCTTTGGGTTGCTCAGACGTCTGGCTGTTAGGAACCAGGCTGCAGCGATGGCAGAAGGGCGCTGTGGAGAGGGGTGGGGCTTCCTCCACCAAGGGCCTGTTGTTCCCGGATGTGCTGTGCAGTAGACTTGTCTCCTGGAGGGGCTCGGGGTTCAGACTGAAAAGGTTCCGTCCACGGTCACTTAGAGCCACGCACTTGAGCGGAACATGCATGACACAGCGGGCGTCTGTGGTAAGGAAAGCTGTTCACTTCACAGCAGACAAGATGCAAAAGCAGCTTCTACCCAGAGCTTTAGATGTCTGTTGTTTTATTTATGTATGTCTGTGTGCAGGGTACCCTTGGAGGCCAGAGGACAGTATCAGATCCCCCGAGCCAGAGTTACAGGCAAGTTGTAAGTTGCCTGATGTGGGTACTGGGAACCAAATCCAGGTCCTCTGGAAAAGCAGTACTTGTCTTAACAACAGCTGAACCGTCTCTCTAACCTGCTGCTTCTCTCTCTCTCTCTCTCTCTCTCTCTCTCTCTCTCTCTCACTCTCTCTCTCTCTCTCTCTCTCTCTCCCTCCCTCCCTCCCTCCCTCCCTCCCTCCCTCTCTCTCTCTCTCTGTCACACACACACACACACACACACCAAACAAACAAGTCTCAATTAGTCTAAAGGAATCAGGAATCCCAGGACAGACACTAACTGTAACTGTAAAATATTTGATGTCACCAGAGGTGGGAGAAAACACAGTGACCTGAAGTTTCCTGAGGTTGTTGGCAGAGTGCTTGTCTAGCATGCCTGAAGCCTTGGGCTCAAATCCCAGCACAGCATATGCTGGGCCTTGCTAGTGGGGGAGGTTATCCTTGGGGACATAGTGAATGCAAGCCAGCCTGGACTACTCGAGGCCCTTTCTCAAAAAAATTTTTAAAAATTAAAAAAAGAAGCCGGGCGTTGGTGGCGCACGCCTTTAATCCCAGCACTCGGGAGGCAGAGGCAGGCGGATCTCTGTAAGTTCGAGGCCAGCCTGGTCTACAGAGCGAGTTCCAGGACAGCCTCCAAAGCCACAGAGAAACCTTGTCTCGAAAAACCAAAAAAAAAAAAAAAAAAAAAAACCAGCTCTGGAGACTTAGGTCGCTTTGGAAATGAGTGGAGACTAACACTAGAGATAGGAGACTCTGTTGGTAGACACGCGCTGGCTGGTGATGTCACGATGAATGGGATCGAGACTCAGTCCAGAGCTCTGCACAGGTGTGCTAAGATCAAATGACAGTGCTCAGACATCAGACGGTGTGAGCGGGTTCTCACTGAGAAGCTCTGGACAAGCAAAGCGCCAGGGCAGGGCTGGCTACGCGGCACCGCAATAAAGGCTACACTGCCACCACAGCGTGGGCCTGAAAACGGACTGCTCCAGGGTGTCCTCTGACCTCTGAGCTCCACAGGCAGGCTGTCACACACACACACACACACACACACACACACACACACACACACACAGAGACAGAGACAGAGAGAGAAAGAGACGCATGCCATTAATTAATTACCATTTTAAAAGGGAGAAAACTAGAAGAAATGGGTTGATGCTGGACTAGAGCTGGATGGAGTAGGACCATGGGCCTCACATATGGCGAGACTGTGCATCTGCGTGTGTGTGTGTGTGTGTGTGTGTGTGTGTGTGTGTGTATGTGTGTATGTGTATGTGTGTGAGTGTGTGTGTGTGTGTGTTTCTTGATTTAACTGCTGACGAGACCTAGAGAGACAGTAGCACTGGGCAATCGCATCTTGGTTCTGGCATTTTCCTCACATCTATATGTATGATTGCGCTGGAAGGGTGGTAAGGGTGGAGGAGTACAAAGCTCAGCAGGGAGGATCCCAGGACTTGGGACACTGAGGCAGGAGGATCAAGAGCTTGGGTTAGCCTCTGCTACACAACGGGTTAGAGTGCAACCTGGGTTAGCTGAGACCCTGTCTCAAAACCTCACGAGAGGTTGTCTATGTTACACGCCATGCTACAGCAGCATCCTCAGGCTGCATGGAGATCTAGCTGTCCAGGTACGCATGACCCACTCCATGAGACTTGCACAGTGCCAACACTGCATTTCTCAAAGTGTGTCCCCCTTGCTAGGTGATGAATCTGGACACTATGTTTAAGGAAGTCGTTGAAGTTAAATGAGGTCACAAGGCAGAGGAAGACTCCTGCAGAGCACACGAACAGAAGGAAGGTCATGTAAGGACATTGTGAGAAAGCCTGTCTGCCAGCCAGGAAGAGACCCATCAACAGACTCCAACCCTGCCCACCCCTTGACCTCAGACTTCCAGTCTCCAGAGCTCTGAGGCCCAAGTGTCAGCCGCTGGAGCCCCAGTCTGTGGGACCGCGTCAGCCGCCCTCCAGACGGATGCATTATGTAACCTGCCGCTCCCAGGTCTGGGGATAGTGACTTTGCTCCTCGGCTGGGCTGGCTCTGGAGCTGTCCTGGAGGCTGTTTCTGCATCTCATCACTGTAACACAGCACAGTGTGACATGCATGGGAGAGCCCCTCCCCAGCCTTGGCAAACATAAAAGGCAGCGTGCTTGCAGCTCCCAATGGGAAGCAGGCCATCAAAAGGGCCGTAATTTACAAGATCGCTTCTAAAACCATAAATAAAACAAAAACAGAGTGTAGACGTGCAGCTCAAGAGCCAGAACACATGCCTGACTTACGGGGGCCTGGATGGATATTCTGTCTTCCCTTGTTTTGATCCTTGGAGGTAACCGCTGATACCAAATCTGAATCATAAAAATATGAAACTTAAGCTGAAGTGTCCCCCCACCACCACCCCTTGATATCTGAATAAAGCACCTGCTTACAGTTCCTTTCTCAGATGCTCTTTATCCAGGACCTGGGGGGTTGTGATCAGACCTTCCATTCAGGAACCAAACACTTCTGAAAGGTCTAGGCATGTGTGACCGGTGACTGGAGGGGTGGGTGCCTGCAAGGGGACAGGTAGGCGCCAAGTCCCCGCCTGGTCGTTAACAACCAGGATAGAAGTGCCAGTTTGGCTTCTTGGTTCAAAGATTGGCTTGACCTGAGGTTGCCTGAGCAGTGCTGGCAAGTCTCAACCTCTCCTGGAAGATTAGCTTCCAGCCCCAGAGGGAAAGCCCTGGAGCGAATGACAGCTGGAGAAAGAAAGATTTCCTGGGACAGCAAGTTCCCAGGAAGCTCCTGGGACTCAGCCAGGACGAGCCAGTCTCCCAGGAAACAGCAAAGCAGGGTGAGGGAAGGGAGTTGCACAAAGTGTGTGCTAAGTCACAGACGGAGCAGTTGGGCGGCGGTGGTGGTGGTGGTGGTGCACGCCTTTAGTCCCAGCACTCAGGAGGCAGAGACAGGCGGATCTCCGAGTTCGAGGCCAGCCAGGTCTAGAGTGAGTTCCAGGAGAGAACAGGAGGTGCATTTACTGGTCTATTGATTGATTGTGAGTCTGATACATGTAAGGGCAGGTCGTATTTTCAGATGCAGTGACAGCCAGGCTTCCGCAGAGAAGTGATTCAAAGTCCATAACCCCAGAACCTGATAGGGGGAGGAAAGAAAAAAGGATTGGTAGTTAGAAGCCAACCTGGTCCGCAGGGTGGGAGTGTCTTGGGTTTCTATGGCTGTGATAAAGACCCTGACCAAGAGCAATTTGGGAAGGAAAAAGGGCTTATTTGGCTTACGTATCGCTGGTCACACTGAAGGAAGCCAAGGCAGGAACTGAGGTAGGGCCAAAGAGAGACTGTGCTCACTGGCTTGCTCCCCATGGCTTGCTCAGCCTGCTTTCTGACACAGCCCAGGACCATCCACCCGCAGTGGCCTGGGCCCTCCAACATCAACCACGAATCAAGAAATGCCCCCACAGACTCTCGCCCCACAAGCAAATCTGACGGAGGCATTTTCTCAAGTGAGGTGTCTCTAGCTTATGTCAAGCTGACAAAGAGCCAAACAGCACCGAGACCTTACCTCAAAGAAGAAGAAGAAGAAGAAGAAGAAGAAGAAGAAGAAGAGGAGGAGGAGGAGGAGGAGGAGGAGGAGGAGGAGGAGGAGGAGGAGGAGGAGGAGGAGGAGGAGGAGGAGGAGGAGGAGGAGGAGGAGGAGGAGGAGGAGGAGGAAGAGGAAGAGGAAGAGGAAGAGGAGGAAGAAGAAGAGGAGGAGGAGGAGTTGGAGAAAGGAGGGGTAACAAGAGATTTGTTCACTTATGTGACTATGAAGATTTGGAAGCACCGTTAGCTGCAGGCTGGACACCCAGAAAAGCCAAAGCTGTAGTTTCAGTCCAAACCCAAGGTCTTGGGCACCCGAGAGTCAGTGTTACAGCTCTCAATTCAGACCCGAAGGCCTAAAGCCAAGAACTCCAGTGCCTGAAGGCAGGAAAAGACAGATGTCCGGGTGGAGGAGCAGGGAAGGTTACTCTCCTTTTTGTCTTTGCAAGCTACGTGGGCCACCAACGGCTCACACAGTGCCTGCATGAGTGAGGAACCACTTTTTTTAAAAATGTGCATGGATGTTTGGCCTGCATATATGTACATGCATCATATGCATTCCTGGTGCCCTCAGAAGCCAGAAGAGGGCTTAAGGTCCCCTGGAACTGGAGTTACAGACAGTTGTGAGTACCATGTAGGTGCTGAGAATTGAACCCAGGTCCTCTGGAAGAGCAGCAGGTGCTTTTAAGAACTGAGTCATCTCTCTAGCCCTAAGAGTCTAACTTTTGACTTGGGTTACCAATTCAAACAATAATCTTTTCCAGAAAATCTTCACAGGTACACCCAGAAACTCTGTGTTACTAGCTGTCAGGGCATCCTTTGACCCACTCAAGTTGACACATGAAATTCGGTGTCACAAGGACCAAAGAGTTGCCGGGCGTTGGTGGCGTACGCCTTTAATCCCAGCACTCGGGAGGCAGAGGCAGGCGGATCTCTGTGAGTTCGAGACCAGCCTGGTCTACCAAGCGAGTTCCGGGACAGCCTCCAAAGCCACAGAGAAACCCTGTCTTGAAAAACCAAAAAATAAAAAAATTAAAAAAAAATAAAAAAAAACAACAAGGACCAAAGAGTCAAGAGCCTTGAAGGTCACCCAGCATCCCCATAACAGTCTCCTCTGTGCTTTTTGATTTAATTTTTCTTTTTTGAGACAGTATCTCACTATGTAACCCCACTGGCCTGCAACCTGTTAGGTCTCAAACAGAAACAAATGGCTAAGGTGACTAGCATATTAAAGTTGGCACTGGCCCCCAGGTTCTCCCAGCATCCCTCAGTCTACCTGTTACAGGGTCAGGCTGGCATACCCAGCACCCTTCTCTAAACTTCTCCAGGCCAGGGGCTGGGCTGCCCTTCCCCCAACTGCCCTCCCCCATATAACCCAACCATTTTGGTTACCTGGTCTCTCTTTTGGTCTACCCTTTATCTTTCTGGCCTCTTGGGCTGGCACTCCCCTCCCCTCCTCCCCTCTGCTCACATGACTTAGGGACATGGCCACGCTGGACTTTCCCAGGTGTCCCTGCCTGTGGATACGCTCTCCCTTTTATCTACAGTAAGCTTTCCCCTCCACCATACCTAGGAGCTGTCATGTCCTTCCTGTTTTTGTTGCATTCAGAACCCACTACATGAACGAGGCCAGCCCCAAACATCACATCACACTGACCTGCCTGCCTGTGCCTCTTGAATGCAATGCTGGGGTCAAAGGCTTGCGGCATCTTGTTGACGCCCGTTTGCTGTTTGAGCCTGCATCCTTTTCGATGTGTGGCTCGGACGGGTCTTAAACATCCTAAGAGAGGTGACGCTGTGGCATTTGATCTAGGACGTGTTCACAACTGGGCTGCTGGAAGCTCCCAGGCCTAGAGGACAAAATCCACCCCTCCTACATTCTGACATCGACACCCAGCTCTCTCCTCCCCTGACTCACCCGGCTGCAGCCACCCTGGTCTGCTTCTCTCTGCCCCTGACACAATCGGGCTTCATCCCACCTCGGGGCCTTCCCACTTTCTGTCCCCACTGTTCAGACCGTCTCCCTAGCCTCTTTCCAGTGGTTTCTCTGCATCCTCTCAGCCTCTGCACGCTCCCCAAAGGAAACTTAGATGCACACGGTAACCCCTTATTTACTGCCTTCCTGCTCTGAGTGCCAGAGGAACTTGATGGCCCTTTATCCCTTTGTTAGTGGTTGATCTCCACGAGGATCAGGCTCCGTGAGGGATAAGGAGCATTTCTTACTCACACCTGGGCCTGACACTGAGGGAAGAATTCGGGTAGAAGCGTGTGTATGTGTGCATATATACACACATATGTACACAGCTATGTGGTCCACATGTGTGTGCACACATGCAAGAGCACACGCCTGATCCAGTACATGTGCAGAGGCCAGAGGGAGGCTTTGGGTGCCCTACTTTCTCACTCTCTACCCTATTCCCTTGAGTCAGGGACTCTCCCTGACCCTGGAGCTAGGCTGGCAGCCAACAAGCCCCAGCAATCCTCCTGCCTCAGACCTTCCACAGCTCTACACAGGTTCTGGGATCTGAACTCAAGTCCTTATTCTTGCAGAGCAAACATCCTTACCTACTGCCATCTCCAGCCCCATGCCTCTAGTCTCACACACACACACACACACACACACACATACACACATACACATGCACGCACGCACGCATGTGCACACACACACTTTTGCAGTGCTGGAGATGAAACCCACTCAGGGCTTGCACATTCCCAGTACATGCTGTACCACAAAGCTCCACCCCTGCCCTTTGGCCTACTTTATTTAGCAAAATGAAACCACTTCTCCGTGACCTTAAGGACTGGTGCAGGAGATACCAGTGCCCTGGTCTGGTGGAACCCACGGGTCAGTGGGAGGGGCCTGAGGGCAGAGCCATGAAAGCTGTAAGGAAGGGGTGGGCAGATCCCCAAGGGAGCAGGAAAGGTCACTTCTAACCCAGAGGACGCAAACCACACAAAACAGGTCCCCAGTGCCTCAGTCTCTTCCTCTGTAAGTGGGGGACAGTGATAACATAGCCTCCACCTTATGGTGGCACAGGAGTGAACCCAGAGAACAGCCTGAAACAGATACGCCCTACATGTGACCAGACGCTGGGTCTGACAGGCCCGTCCCCTCCCCCTGCTCGGGTCCAGAGTGGGAGCCTCTTTCACAAGGAAGCCTCTAACTCTCTGTCCTGCTCACACCATGGCCATGCCAAGTCTGCAGCCAGAGCCAGGTCCTTTGGAAGGACACAGACGTGGGGACATTTCTGTGAGCTAATGAATTCTTCAAGCCCTTGGGACTTACTGGCCCTGGGCAGAGTGTCTTGATTCCTTCTCTCAGGGTGACTGGACCCAGAAAAAAAATACCCATGGAGGGCAAGGGCCACAGAGGACTATGGCTGTAGCTCAGTGGTTCCCTAGCTTGCACAAAGCCCTGGATTCCATCCCCAGCACTGCGTAAACGGGGTGATGGTGCACATCCGTAATCTCTGTACTGGGGGGATGGAGACAGATGAATCAAAAGTCATCTTCAGCCGGGCGGTGGTGGCGCACGCCTTTAATCCCAGCACTCGGGAGGCAGAGGCAGGCGGATCTCTGTGAGTTCGAGGCCAGGCTGGACCGACAGCCTCCAAACAATACAGAGAAACCCTGTCTTGTAAAAACCAAAAAAAAAAAAAAAGTCATCTTTAGCTAGACATTGCATTTGAGGCCTACCTGGGCCACACAAAAGCCCGTCTCAAAACACGAGCTAACAAAAATTGCTCCTGCAAAAGCAACCTGGTAATCCTGAAGCCGTTCTGCCTTACCTCCAGTACAGAAATTTCTATGTGAGTCACCAATGGTGTCACCGGCACGGACCTGGGCCTTTCTGCT